GGGGGCCACGAAGGGATGCAACGGGGCCACGAAAAAAAACGACGGGGCCACGAAGGACTGCAACGGGGCCACGAAGGGCAGCGAGGGGGCCACGAAGGGCTGCAACGGGGCCACGAAGGGCAGCGAGGGGGCCACGAAGGGCTGCAACGGGGCCACAAAGGGCAGCGAGATCCCGATTCCGATGTAATCTGTGAAGAAATCCTAAGCGTGAGCGCGACTCCTGGGTGCCTGGGTGTCGGGAGCGCGGCGCTTGAGTAAATTGCAAGAAATTCCAACGCAAGGGCGCTATTCCTTTGTAAATTGTAAGCAAATTTCTAGCGAGATCGCGACTCTAGAGCGCCGGAAGAATAAATTCTAAGGAAGTCTCAAGCGAGACCGCGACTACTGGATAAAATGCGGAGAAGTCTCGGGCGGGAGCGGGGGTCCTGGCTAAATTGTGAGGAGGTCTCAGGCGGGAGCCGCTGTTGTTGTAAACCGGGGGCCAACGACACAGTTTGACCCTCAAGACTTTCCCTGATGAAACACACGGTGCGAACCCCAGGAACGGCACTTCAATCGAAAAAACAATGTGCACCGGACGGGGGGGATCTGCAATAACTATTCTTCAAATGCGAGTTCAACAACAACAACAACAACAACAACAACAACAACAACAACAACAACAACAACAACAACAGCAACAATCATTTTACCACTGTTCGCCCTTATCTGCTCGAGTGTCCAATAACGCGTATTTCCCAAACCCTCGATACCCGCCCTCTTCGTCTTCGATCGAACCCCTGTTGGGGGCGGGGCCCCGGCAAGCGGCGGGGCGGCCGCGGACCGTCGGCCTGGCCAGCGGCAGCGCTGATCGGCGGGGCGGCCGCGGACCGTCGACCCGACCCCAAAAGGGACGGACAGGGGACCGACAACGACGACGACGACGACGCCGACGACGTCGACGACGACGACGACGACGACGACGACGACGACGACGACGACGACGACGACGACGACGACGACGACGGCGACGACGACGACGAGCGAAAGCGAGAGCGAAAGAGATCGACAGCAGGGCCACAAGGACACGAAGTAGGCCACGAAGGGCGACAGCGGGGACACGAAGGGAATGCGTATGGGGCCACGAAGAGCGCGAACGAGCGGGGGCCACGAAGGGCAGACAATGCGGGGCCACAGAAGGCAACGATGGGGCCACTGAGGGTAGCAACTGGGCCACGTAGGACAATGAGGGGGCCACAACTAGCGACAGCGGGGCCACGAAGGGCATGCACATGGGGCCACAACTGGCGCGAACGAGCGGGGGCCACGAAGGGCATTATACTGGGCCGCGGAGGGCAAGGACGGGGCCATTGAGGGCAGCAACGGGGCCACGAAGGGCGACAGCGGGGCCACGAAGGGCATGCACATGGGGCCACCACGGGCGCGAACGAGCGGGGGCCACGAAGGGCATGCATATATGGGGCCACGAAGGGCAGCGACGGGGCCACGAAGGGATGCAACGGGGCCACGAAGGGCTGCGACGGGGCCACGAAGGGCTGCAACGGGGCGACGAAGGGCTGCGACGGGGCCACGCAGGGCAGCGAAGGGGCCACGAAGGGCTGCAACGGGGCCACGAAACAAAGCGAGGGGGCCACGAAGGGCTGCAACGGGGCCACAATGGGCAGCGAGATCCCGATTCCTAGGTAATCTGCGAGGGAGTCCCAAGCGTGAGCGCGACTCCTGGGTGCCTGGGTGTCGGGGGCGCGGCGCTTGAGTAAATTGCAAGAAATTCCCACGCAAGGGCGCTATTTTTCAGCAGTAAATTGCAAGCAAGTCTCCACCGAGAGCGCGACCCCAGAGCGCTGGGAGAGCGATCCCTGAATAAATCCCACCAGCCCTCTGGGCGTAGGTAGTCTAGAGCAGATCCTCTTCCACCCCTCCCTCTTCCCCCTTGGGGAGGGATTTACCCCTCCCCCTACCCCCTCCCCTGGACCTGGACGGAGGGTTCCGCGAGCGGTCGGACGGCTCTTTTGGCCCCAAGATGGCTCCAAGAGCGCCTCAGCGAGCCCAAGATGAGCTCCAAGATGGCTCAAGATAGCGCAAGATCGCTCGAGATGGCTCCCAAGATGGTTCCAAGAGGCCCAAAGACGGCCACAAGACGGCTCCAAGTGGCCAAAGAGCTCCCCAAGGAGGCCCCGAAGAGGCCAAAATCGTCCCAAAACCTAAAGAAGAACAATGTGTTTTGCTTTCTCGCCTTTTCGCTTCCGATGGACATCCGAGGCCTCAATATGGCTCCAAGATGGCCCAAAAGGGCCCCACGAGAGGCCCGAGAGAGCCCCAAGACGGCCCCAAAAGCGCCCAAGAGCGCTCCAACAGCGCTCCAAGAGGGGCCCAAGAGGCGATGTATGGGGCTCCCGAGGGGGGAGGCTAATTGGAGCTCCCCTCTTGTTTGATCGACTCCCTCCAAGATGGCCCCAAGAACGCCCCTACAGCCCCCAAGAGCTCCCCAAGAGCGCCCCAAGAGGCGCCAAGACGTCCCCAAGAGGCGCCCAAGAGGCCTCCAAGAGGCTCCCAAGAAACCCCCAAGAAGCCTCAGGATGGTTTCCGAAAAAGCATTCAAGACGCTTCTGGCTCTTCGGTTCGCCGTCCTCTTCCTCTTCCTCGTCCTCAACCACCTCTTCCTCTTCCTCCCTCCTCCTCCTCCCCCTCCTCCTCCTTCTCCTCCTTCTCCTCCTTCTCCTCCCTCTGCTCCTTCTCCTCCTTCTCGTCCTCCTCGTCCTCGCCCTACTCCATATCCTCCTCATTATCCTCCTCCTCCTCCTCCTCCTCCTCCTCCTCCTCCTCCTCCTCCTCCTCATTCTCCTCCTCCTCCTCCTCCTCCTCCTCTTCCTCCTCCTCCTCCGACGACGACGACGACGACGATTCCGCTTCCATCCTCCCGCTCTCGGGGTCTGTGACAGCTTCCCCCGCCCTTTGTTATTCTGCATGCTCCCCGACTTCCCTGATCACCTCAACTCCCCTGAGCATCGTTTCTGGATGGGCTGGTGGCGATACGCGAAGCGTCAACAATTGTAAGAGTGTCCGAAAAGAGAGCGCGCGATTCCGGCATGAGATGCGAGGAAGTCTCGGGCGGGAGCGGGGATCCTGGCTAAATTGTGAGGGAGTCTCAGGCGGGAGCCGTTGTTGTTGTAACCCGGGGGGCAGGGGCCCAGTTTGAGCCTCAAGACTTTCCCTGATAAACCAGGGTGCGAGCGTCGATGGGGCACTTTGATTGAGAAAAAACAGTATGCACTGGTGGGGGGATCAACAATATGTATTATTCCGAAATTAGAATTCACGAATATTTCTGAGACTGTTCTCTCTTACGTGCCCGTGTCATTCAAAACGAGCTCCCCACACCCTCGATACCCGCCGTTGTTGTCTTCGATCACACCCCCTTTGGGGGGATTCATTCTCTTTGCGGGGGGTGGCGGGCTTAGACAGGCGGGCAAACCTGGACGGGCGGACAGTCTTTCGTGGGCGTACATGTGCCCGCCATTGGAATTGATGTGGGCCCTGCAAAAAGAGGAGAGGGGGAGAACGAGGGAGAGTGGGAGGAAGGGAGGGGGAGGGACGAAGGAAGAGGGAAAACGCCAGGAGAGAAGGAGCGAAGACGGGGGGCGGCTGATTAGAGGCAGAGAGAGAGAGAGAAAAAACAAAACAAACAAAAAAAAGAAACGATAAGATTGGTAGAGAGAGAGGGGAGAGAGAGAGAGAGAATAAAAAAAAGGAGGAGGCAGGAGAGGGGAGGGAGAAGGGAGGAGGGAGAGGAGGGAGAGGGGAGAGGGCAGAGAGGCATAGGATGAGGGAAGAGAGGAGGGAGAGAGAAGGGAGGAGAGGAGGGAGGAGGGAGGAGGGAGGAGGGAGAGGGAGGAGGAGCAGGAAGGTAAGAGCGTGAACGTTCGAGGAAGTCCTAGGCGAAAGCGCCGTTCCTGAAGGAAGTCTCGGGCGGGAGCCCACGACGGGCGGGCGATCCCCTGACGGGCGGGTCGGGCGGTTGGGACATTCAAGCGGGATGCCTGAGTATGGCGAGAGCGCGATTACTAAGTAAACTGTAACGGCGTCCTTGCCGCAGCGTGTTTCCTGAGCGTCGAACGCGCGATTTCTGAATCAATTGCATGGAAGTCACAGGCGAGAGCGCAATTCCTGAATAAAATGTGAGGGGTTCTCTGGCGGGAGCGGGGGTCTTGATTAAATTGCGAGGAAGTCTTGACTCAATTGCGAGGGAGTCGCAAGCGGGAGCGCCGTTCCTGAGTAAATTGTGAGGAAGTCTCAGATGGGAGCGGGGGTCCTGACTAAATTGCGGGAGCACCGATCCTGAGCAAATTGCGGGGAAATCTCAGGAGCGGAGGTCGTGAATAAATTTGGAGGAGGTCTCAGGCGGGAGCCGTTGTTGTTGTAATCCGGGGGGCCAGGGGCCCATTGAGCACGAAGACTTTCCCTGTCAAAGCAAACAGGGTGCGAGCGTCGAGGGGCACACTTTGACTGAGACAAAACAATATGCACCGGTGAGGGGGGATCATCAACACTTATTCTTCAGACATGACAGTTCAACAAGAACGACGACAACGACGACGCCGGCGCCGGCGCCGGCGCCGGCGGATTCCCGAAGTCTACGGAGCCGTCCAGAAGCCCACAGAGGCCCCAACGGCGCCGAGTGACCCTCGAGCCCTGAACCTCGACCGATCTCGACCCACCGACCAGCGGCGGCGGCGGCGGCGGCGGCGACGACGGCGGCAGCGAAGGCCGCCGCGGCGGCGACGCAGGCCGCGGCGGCAGCGCGGCAGCGCGGCAGCGGCGGCCGCCGAGGGCCCCAGAGGGCCTCCGAGAGCCTCCGAGAGCCTCCGAGGGCCGCCCAGGGCAGCCGAGGGCCGACGGGGGCCGACGAGGGCCTCCGAGGGCTCCGCGAGGCCTCCGAGGGCCTCGAAAGGCCTCCGCGGGCCGCAGGGGGCCGTCGACGGCTGCAGAGGGCCGCAGGGGGCCTCCAGCACGTCGACCCTCCCAGCCACGGCGGCGTACTGCAGGGCCACGCCGCCCGAGTCGACCGACCTGGCGAGGGAATCGTCGAGGGCCGCCGTCGGACCGTCTCCGCCGTCGACGCCTTCTCCGCCGCCGTCGCCGCCGCCGGAGTCGCCGCCGCCGTCACCGTCACCGTCGGCGAAGTCACCATCGTCGCAGTCGCCGTCGTCGACGTCGTCAGAGTCGTTGGACACGTCGGCGTCGTCGACGTCGTCGTCGTCGGAGTCGTCCTCCTCATCCTCCATCCCTTCTCCTCAGAAATAGCTCCTCCCTATCGCGCCCCCAGACGCGTCGGTAGGGCGGGCCAGGCGTTTCGCCTGAAACTTCATCACCATGTGTGACCGTAAAGCTTGAACTGTGCAGCGGTTTCACACATGGAGGGCGGGCCTGTCTCAGAATGTGGCTTGCGCCTTAGCGCCGCACACATTCATCGCAAAAGTTTGCAACTGTTAAGGATGGAGGGCGGGCTGTTTTCAAAATGTGGCTCTCGCCTTAGCGCCGCGCGCACTCGTCTTAGAAAGTTTGAACAGTTTCAAGGATTCGTATGCTTGACATCTCAGGCATGGTGTCAGGGAATGAATTGAAGGTGTCGGAACGCAACATTCACATTGATTCACTGTGTTGGATTCCGCGGAACGGTGTTCTGTCACGGCTTAGCACTGTCAGGGCGCAACATTCACGCTGATTCGCGGCATTGAAGTCCCAGGAACGGTGTTCTGGCACGGTTGCGGACTCAATGAATACATGCTTGTAGGAGAACCTATGAAGATAAATTGGAGGGAAGGTTTCTTGCAACATAGTTGATGCGTCCTGGGTTTGCACTGGTCCTCCTCCTCCTCCTTCTGCTCCTCCTCCTCCTTCTTGTCATCCTCATCACCATCATCATCATCATCATCATCATCATCATCATCATCATCATCATCATCATCATCATCATCATCATCATCAATCAGCAGCATCATTATCACCATCATCATCACCATCATCAGCATCATCAGCATCATTATCATCATGCTCCCACTCCTCCCGCTCCTCCATCCCATTTTCCGTTTAGACCCGAGCCGCAACCGCAGCCGCGTTGCCCCCTTCAGCACACACTCGCCGCCTGGCTTGGGCCCTTGCGCGACACCCGCTGCGTGGTTCACTCTGGTCCTCCTCCTCCTCTTCCTTCTCCTCCTCCTTCTCCTCCCTTTCCTCCTCCTCCTCCCTCTCCTCCTCGGAGCCAGAGACGGAATCGGGATCGTTGTCGTCGCCGCCGTCGTCGAGAATCTATGTTCGAGGACGCGCCCCAAGACGAGTGTGAGAGTTGATTTCGAGTCGTGGTCGTCGGAGTCGTCGGAGTTAGAGTCGGAGTCGGAGTCGGAGTCAGAGCTGCTCCCGAGTCGGACGAGGCCCCAAGAGGCCAAGAAGCCTCCCCAGAGGCTCCCACGAGGCCCCCAAGACATGCCCCCAAGAGCCATCCACGAGGCCCCCGAAAGGCAACCCAAGAGACCCTCACATGGCCTCCCAAAAAAAATCCCAACCCCGTTTGAAAGATGGAGCGCAGCGTGCTAGAATCCTGGCGCACATCCCGAGCCCTCCAACGCATACTCCAGGCCCTTCACCCTGCGACAGCCTCCGAAAAGCCCCCCAGTTCACCCAAAGAAACCTCAAGATTAATCGACACACCACGCAGCGACTGATTGCTCAATTACGCGGGCAGGCTCCTTCTTTGTACGAGCGCCCCCGAGAGACTCCCAAGAGGCTCAAGAATAAGCAGACAGGACGGCATGTTCCTCTGACGGTCGCCCTCCATCGACCAAGAGACTGCTTCCAACAACGCGAGCTTGACACGACAACTTGCGGAAATTACCACAATCCAGCAACTTCCCGATCCCCGCGAGCGCAAAGGGCAAATGCCAACGATGATGCAATATGGGCAAGCGGAATGAGCGAAGCGCTTGAATCAACAACGGGCGATTTGGTGGATGGCGAAGCGCCTGGCGCAGCCTATGGCGCAGCCTGTGGCGCAACGGCACACCCCATGAGCAAGACGCACTGGTGGATTGCTGTGTGCCTGGCGCAGCCTCTGGCGTAATTGTCGGGGCCCCCGGGCGGCCCAACAGACTTCCAAACACGGCGCCACGACGACCCACCGCGTGCCGCAACACGGCTTGGGGGCCTGCGGAGACGACCTCCGGACCCGAGGCGACGGGCGGCAAAGCGCTCCAAGACCGCCGCAGAGGCCCCCGGCCGCCCCCCCGGCGCCCGCCCGAGCGCGGTGGCGGATTCGAGCGGCAGCGCAACCGGATTGCACGATGCGATGAGATTGAAGGGGCCCTGGGACACACAAATAAATACACACAAATAACAGGATCCCCCAAATTTCCCCATATTTTCTGGGTTTTTGTCTCCCCCCCCCCTTCCCATATTTTCCAATATTTTCTGGGGCATCGCCGATTAATTGTGTCTGTGTGTTTTTCCCCTCCTGAGAGATACTGCGCTCCGCCGTGCTCATGTCTAACACGCCGCGATGAAATACAGCGGAGGCCAGTCCACAAGAGACCGTCCACGAGAATCCCAACCCTGAGACCCTGGGACGTCCCCTGTTCTTTGGCGTGGGGACGCCGCGCGTGCCACTGCGAGACCATCGAAACCCAAGAGACCCAGGGCACCCTGCGGGCAAGCAGGGCGTTTCTGGGCATGGGCCTCCGCTGCTTTACCACACCGCGATGGAAATATACACTGCTTCACTGCACGCGGGAGACCACGCAGGAGACCAGGGACCACGGGCCACGACCAGAGACCGCGGGCTGCGGCCAGAGACCACGGGCGAAGACCAGACCACGACCAGAGACCATGGGCCACGCGGCCAGAGACCAGAGGCCACGACCAGAAGCCACGACCAAAGACCACGAATTGCTGACGGTTTTGGGAACCGCGCGATGCACGCACGGAGCGTAAAAGAAAACATAGAGACAGTTACAGAAAAGCTGTTCAGGGAGACGCACGAGGAAGCTTTCACCCTCGTCCTCCAACTGCCCCTTCTCCCCCACCCTCCCCTCTTCCACATCCTCGACCTTGTCCCCCTCCCTCTCCCCTCTCCTCCTGCTCCTCCTCTTCTTCCTCTCGCCCGACGACGACGACTACGACAACGACGACGACGACGACGACGACGACGGCGACGACGACGACGACGACGGCGGCGACGGCGGCGGCGGCGGCGGCGGCGGCGGCGGCGGCGGCGACGACGGCGACGGCGACGGCGACGACGACAACGTCGGTGGGGCGCGAGGGCGGCGGTGCCCGACGGGCACCCGCATCTCGCCAATCAGGAAGAGCAGACATTCCCTCCCCGTTGGAGCCACCAACGCGCGTGTCGCAGTCGCCGCCGCCACTGTCGCCGCCGACGCCGCCGCCGCCACCGACGCCGCCGTCCGCGCTGCCGCCGCCGCCGTCGTGGCTGTCGTCGCAAAATCCAACCCGCCTCACTAACTTTCCTCATCGTCGTCGTCGGAAGAGGACGTAGCAGAAGCGGTAAAAGGAGGAGGAAAGGGAGATGAGGAGAGCGAGAGACGACGGAGGAGTGAGTGGGAAGGAGGTGGCAACGGCAACAAGATGGAAAGAGCGCCCTCAGCGGCTTTAATCGATCATTGGAGGTGCTACGCGGCCTTCTGGGACTCTTAGAAGGGGGAGCGGGCGGACAGCATTAGAAGAAAACGAGAAGTGGAAGATAAGGTAAGAGAGAAAGAAAGAAATGAGAAGGAGAAGCGGGAAGTAGAAAGGACAGGAGGAAGCGAAGGTGAAAGCGAAGGAAGAACAGAAGGAATAGGAAGGGAAGGAGGGGAGGAAGCAGGAGGAGATGGAGGAGGAGGAGGAGGAGGAGGAGACCGAGGAAAAGCGGCAGCAGCAGCGACAGGAAAAGACTAAAACGAGGGACAAAAAGAAGAAAGGATGGAGGGAACTGAAAAAGGGGTGACGGATACGACGGAAGCGGGGAGGTGGATGAAGGATGATGCGTAGAGTCGGACCCAGGACACGAGAACACCCTTGAAGAACATGCGACCCTCCGCCAGCGAAAGCACACAGAACTTCCAAGGGTACCCTCCCCAGGATGCATCAGAATAGACAACGAGCAGGAAGAACATATAGGGTACCCTCCCCGAACCGACCTAGATGTTCTACCTCGGTCCGACCGTACGAGACGGGCGGGCGTCACCACGGAAGGCAAGAAGAGGGGCACAAGGGCGCGCACGCGGGCAGCAAGAGGAGAGGAGAAGGGAGGAGAGAGGCTGGCAGCGACTGTGCCGAAGGCCACGGGGCAGAGGGAGGCAACGACCGTTCGCTTTTTTTTTTCTCTCTCTCTCTCTCTCTCTCTCTCTCCCAATTGCACACACTTCTCCGCCGCGCGCAACCGGGGTAACGAGACACGCGGGCGACAGAAGCTGGTCAAATAAGACGAAAATGAACCAGCTACCACAAACAACTACCAAAAAAAAATGTTTCACGCGGCAGTGGCTGGGGCAGAAACCGGGGCCGTGGCGGCCCGGGGGCGACAACGCGGAGAAGGTCGGCTGGTTCACGCTCAACTTGCCTGCAACGGCAAGGTGGCGAGTCAGCCGCGATGCGCTGGGCCGGGTCCCGCTTGGGCGAATTACCACATGACGTAGCAGACGGGTGGACTGGACGGGGGCGCTCGCCGACAAGAGGAACCGCGGCACGCGCAGTGCGAAGAGGCGCGCACCCCTGACTGCCCGGAGCGCGGCGGCGGGCAGAGGCCGCAACTGAGATGCCCGCGCCAGCAGACGCGCGGCGTAGACGGCGAGCGCGGCCCGACAGCAAGGGCGCACCATCCAACGAGCGAGACGGGCTCGGGCGGGCAAGGCCGCGGGCGGGCCCGCCGCGCCAGCGGCCCGAGCCCCCGCACACCCGACGAAGAGGGGCGGGCAGACAGGAGGCGACGGAAAACGGGGGAAGCCGACCGACGCCGGCGTGACCCCGCGTGGACCGCCGCAGCCAGGACGACAATGCCTAAGACAGAACAGACAGAGCGGGCGCAGAAGGCGTAACCCAGCACGAAACCGACACACACACACACACACACAACACATATATGCATATATATATATATATATATATATATATATATACATATATATATATATATGTGTGTATGTCTTGCGTCGGCGGCTGGGCACAGGTACTGCTGCTCCGGCGATGTGGCATTAGTGGGGCGCACACAATGCAAATTGGGCGGCGGCGCACACGAGGGAGGAAGAGGAAGCCCCGCGCGGGCGGGAGAGAGAGGAAGCCGAGCCCACTCAGAGCAAGTCCCGGCGGCGGCAGGCTGGGCGCCGGGGGGGGGGCGGGCCAGCGGCAGCGCCAGGGCAGCAGCTGGGGGGAGGCCGCCCGAAGGCAGCCGGGCGCAGGCCCAGGGAAGGGAAAGCACATCGAAATGCGAAGCGGCTGAGCACTGAGATATTTTCACCTTCCAAACGACTGAACAGCCAACGATAGCCACTCCAGATGGGGTCGGAAACGTTGATTGAACAGCGAAGCGGCTGAGCACTGAGATCTTCTGACCTTCCAAGCGACTGAACAGCCAACGATGACCACTCCAGATGGGGAGGCCGAGACGGGGCTGGCAGGGGCCCAGCAGGCCGCACCCAATGCCACCCAGTATCAATGTGCCCAAGAATACAGCAACGTCTAGCATGTACAGCATCAGACATGACGGCCAGCAACGGCAGCGAGGGCAGAGTACACGGCGACGCCCGTCAGCTGGGGGTACTCCAAAGAGACATCCAACGGATGGCTGAACATCGCAAACAAAAATGCAATAACCAAACGAAGCGAATTCGCATCTATCTGCAGATACGCATCATGAGCCATGCAGGCGTGCTGTAAGATCCAACCACTATGGAAGAAATGCGCTGACTCACAGAATGAGATGAGATGAGGTCGTCTGCCCCACAAGCGTGCAATCGTAGAACATGTCGTCAGTGGATCCTTCGCCCTTCAGGACAATCTGGGCCATCCGACTGAATGGCCCCCGAGGCACCGTCTCGCCTCCGCATCCGCCTTCACCCCAAGCATGCCTCGGGGCGACTGGATCAACAGCGCCGGGGACCCGATAGGGTCCCAGAATTACGCGGGGTCCAGCAGCACCCGCGCGCGGCGCCAGCAGCCCAGGCGCCGGCGGAGGCCGAGGCGGCCGCGGCTGCAGCGAGCGCGCCAGCGGACGCGGCGGCGGCACACGCGGCGGAGGCCGCAGCGGCGGCCTCCGCGACGGCGGCCGCAGCGGCGGTGGCGCCCGCGGCGCCGGCCGCGCACGCGGCGCCAGCGGCACCCGCAGCCCCCGCAGCGCAGGCGGGGCCGGCGGCCCCCGAGGAGCCAGCCGAACCTGCGGCGCCACGGCCGCGGCGCCACGGGCGCCCGTGGCGCAGGCGGCGCCCGCGGCGCGCGCGGCCGCCCGCGGCGGCCGCGGCGGCGAGCCGCGCGGGCGGCGGGGCCGCCGCGGCAGCGGCGCATGGGGCGCCGGGGGCAGCAGGGCACGCGGCACGGGCAGCAGCAGCCCGCCGCTGCCGCAGCCGCCGCGCCGCGCCGCTGGGGTCTCCACGGCGGCGGCGGCGGCGGCCTCGGGGCGGCCGCAGCAGAGCCCGCGGCGCCGCCAGCGCCAGGGTCCCCTGCCGCAGCCCGGCGCCGCCGCGGGCAGACATGCCGAGGCGGCGGCGGCGGCCGCGGCGCGCGGCCCGGTCGCGCCGCCCAGGCCGCGCCGGCCAAGCTCGAGCCCTGACCCCGGGGGGAGGTCCCCCCGGCCGAAACGCCTTGAGCCAGGGGGGTACGGACACACACACACACACACACACACACACACACACACACACGCACACACACACACACACACACACAAAAAAAAAAAAAAACACGAACACACACACACACAGACACACACACACACACACACACACAAACACACAAACACACAAACACACAAACACACAAACACACAAACACAAACACAAACACAAACACAAACACAAACACAAACACAAACACAAACACAAACACAAACACAAACACAAACACACACACACACACACACGCGCGCGCACGCGCACGCACGCACGCACGCACAGACACAGACACAGACACAGACACAGACACAGACACAAACACAGACACAGACACGGACACAGACACAGACACAGACACAGACACAGACACAGACACAGACACAGACACAGACACAGACACAGACACACACACACACACACACACACACCACACACACACACACACACACAATTGAACCACGCGCGCGCTTCGCAAGCTCAGCTTCTGGCCAAGCACAGGCACAGGGTTCGTTGCGGGGGTCAGCTGCAGAGCCTCGCGGGGCCCTCTTGGGACTGTCTTGGGGCCCAGGCTGCCGCGGACGCTTTGAAAACCGAAAGGGCAGGGAGCCTCCAAAAATCTTCAAACCTTAAGGGGCCCCCGAGGGCTTCCGAAAGGGGCTCCCCCGAGAGGAGCCCCCCAGCCCCCCCCCCTTCCCCGAGGAGCTGAGAGAAAGGCCGAAGGGCCGCCGAAGGGCAGGCGCCGAGCGGGCCTCCCCGAAGAACCGCCGAAGGGCCCAGGAGGACCCCCGAAGGGCCGCCGAGGGGCCTCCGACAGGCCGCTCCCCGCGCGCCACTGGCCGCACCCCGCGGCGTTCTGCACCGCCCGCTCCGCCGCCTCTCGCAGGGCGCGGGGCTCGGGGCGCGAGAGGGTCGGATCGGATCGGCTCGGCAAGGAGGAAGCGCCGTGCGCCGCAGCGCCGCCTGCCCCCCACCCCCACCCCCACCCTCTTGGCGGGGCCCGAGCATGGAGCACTGAACTCAGACATCAGCCAGGGCAGAACGTATACCCCGCCCTGCCCAGAGAGAGGTTGGCAGGAGGGAGGATGAGGTAAGACGCGCACGGTGAGCGGTGCTCGCGCCCAAACAGTGGGGAAGGATTATCCCGGCAAAGCAACCTAACAGCGATGTGTAGAAGCATATCTGAAAGCATTCCCCTTAAGATTCAGATGAAAATCCAGTTTAGAATTCTGCTGTTCTCGCAGTCGTAGTCGCATTCGCGATGACAGTCGCAGCGGCAACGGCAGTCGCAGTCACAGCCTCAGCCTCAGCCTGCCTCAGCCTCAGCCTCAGCCTGCCTCAGCCTCAGCCTGCCTCAGCCTCAGCCTCAGCCTGCTTCAGCCTCAGCCTCAGTCTGCCTTCAGCCTCGGCCTCAGCCTCAGCCTGCCTCAGCCTCAGCCTGCATCAGCCTCAGCCTCAGCCTCAGCCTGCCTCAGCATCAGCCTGCTTCAGCCTCAGCCTCAGCCTGCCTCAGCCTCAGCCTCAGTCTGCTTCAGCCTCAGCCTCAGTCTGCCTTCAGCCTCGGCCTCAGCCTCAGCCTGCCTCAGCCTCAGCCTGCCTCGGCCGCAGCATCAGCCTGCCTCAGCATTCAAAATGTGGCCCAGGAATGGAGTTCTGGGAACTAGAAGAACACGAAGTGGCCTACAGTTGGCTCCGGGCATTCAAAATCATGCCCAGGAATGGAGTTCTGGGAACTTGAAGAGCACGAAGTGGCCTACAGTTGGCTCCGGGCATCCAAAATGTGGCCCGGGAATGGAGTTCTGGGAAATCGAAGAGCACGAAGTGGCCTACAGTTGGCTCCGGGCATCCAAAATGTGGCCCGGGAATGGAGTTCTGGGAAGTCGAAGAGCGCGAAACGGCCTACAGTTGGCTCCGGGCATCCAAAATGTGGCCCAGGAATGGAGTTCTGGGAGCACAAAGAGCGATTTTGCGGGGATGTCCCAAGCGATTTCGGCTTCGGCGGCAGCCTCCCCGGGTCCCGCCCAGACCCCCCTGAGGAGTCATGATGCTCTATTTTGAGTCCACTAGAAACCTATCAGCAAAAGCTGTTAGGTAAAAACAAGATTATCCCGGCAAAGCAACCTAACAGCGATGTGTAGAAGCATATCTGAAAGTATTCCCCTTAAGATTCAGATGAAAATCCAGTTGTAGAATTCTGATGTTCTCGCAGTCGTAGTCGCATTCGCGATGACAGTCGCAGCGGCAACGGCAGTCGCAGTCACAGCCTCAACCTCAGCCTGCCTCAGCCT